GGCTGTGTCTTTAGTTGTAAGCACAGTGGCGATCTGTTGTTATTAGCATCTGGTTAGCTAGCTATGCTAACGAATTTAAAGAGCTTTTCTACAACCAGGTGGAAGAGAGTTCTCCTGAGAGGCTCAAATAACTTCAGCTCAGTGAGGTTAAGGCACACCTTGATATGATCATTATAGTTATTAATGAGACATTAGAGACTAAATGAATAACAGGTATAAAATACTATATGACTGTTAAAAAAAGTTCTTGAAAATAACAAGAATAGAGTTTAAAAGGGGAGTGATTTGTAAAATATCCAAAAAGAAAAATCTGCTTACAGTTCTGTTTCATATGGGTGTTGAAAGATGTATCCATAGATCTCCTCATGTTGCTCTCAAAGTGCACCAGATTGATGCTTTTAACTTCAATATTTAAAAAAAAAAATCTTCCCCGGAGGAGCATGCCCCCGGACCCCCCTAGAGGAGGTTAGGTCCCACGCACTTAAATCATGTTCACATGGATAGGATACTAAATACATTTGCACACATCTTGTGTCCATATCTTTCTGTTTTGGTGGTCATGCCACAACCGTGCACATGCATGTATGCGTGAGTCATGGTAAGATATATGCTTGTTCTTTGCACAACATGAAAGAAAGGCCAAATGAATGGGCTGTGATTTTAGTTTTTTTAAGCAGAGGTTGAGTTCAATAATTTGTACGGCCCTCGGAGGATGTTGTAAAAATTGAAAGGAAAAAGGTTCCCCACCCCTGCTGTAAATAATAATAAAAACCTTGATTTATAACTTAACATCTCTGTCTCCTATTGATCTGAGTATATTATAAAGAATAGCATAGGCCTTTGTCAGATGTTATATTACGCTGTTTTTTTTCTGCTTCGAATAGTTCTCTCTTTTTTCACCATACCTGTGTTTGCATCACTGATTTTACTGCACATATTGTAAAGCTTACATTAGCAGACTTTTTGGTAGATATGTCTCTGATGTAAAGTATAAGCAGTCAGGTAGCATCTTCACAATGTAACAGGAGGACACACTCAAGGTTCAAGGTTCTTTATTTTGTCATACGAACACAGCTACAGTGTAGTTATGCCGATGAAAATCTTAGGTCACAGGCTTCTCCAACAGTGCAGCACAATAACACAGATAAACAGAAATATAAGTAAATAGTAAATACAAAAAGGAAAATTGTTTAAAAAAGTGAAATAGTGCAATAAGAGTCTATATGCAAGTTATTGGAATGATATATTAGAGAAATTTCAGTTTTCAGTTTGCCACGCACCTCGCCGTTTATCCAGGGCTTTTGATTTGGGAATTTTCGTACAGAAACCTTCGGTACCACGTCATCGATGCATTTCCCAATGTAGCAGATGACCCTATCCGTGTGTGTGTTGATGTTATTGTCCTCGAACACACTCTAATCCGTAGATGCAAAGCAATCCTGCAGTGCTGAATCTGAGTCTTCACTCCATCGCTGTAGTGTCTTTATTTCCGGTATGTCCCGTTTAAGTTTCTGCTTGTAAGCAGGCAGCAGCAGCAGCAGAGAGATGTGGTCTGATTTGCCAAAGGGAGGGCGAGGGAGAGCCTTATATCCATGTCGAAAGGGGGAATAAACATGGTCCAGAATGTTTCCCTCGCGCGTTGGGCAGCTGATGTGTTGGAAGTACTTCGGCAGGACCTTCTTCATGTTGGCGGTGTTAAAATCCCCGGCCCCAACGACGCCGCCTCTGGCCCTGGAGTCTCGGTCTTGTCGATAATCCCAAACAGCTGATCGAGTGCCGTGTTGTTGTCGGCGAGCGGCGGAATATACACTGCTGTTATCACAACAGATGTGAATTATCTCTGCAGGTGAAAAGCCCGGCATGTGATCATGAGGTGCTCTAAATGAGCGGAACAGTCCAAATAAATAATCCTCACATCTGTGCACCAGTTGTTATTAGACATTACACACACACACCGCCACCTTTACTTTTCCCAGAGTTAACAGTCCTGTCCTGGCGAAAAATAGTGAATCTGTCAGGAACAATGGCAGAGTCCGGGATAGCGGGGTTGAGCCAAGTCTAAATGAGAATGAACACGTTATAGTTGTTAATGTCTTGTTGAAAAGCAATCCGACTTCTGAGTTCATCTAGCTTATTTTCAATGGATTGAACATTAGCCAGAAGAATACTCGGAAGAGGGGGTCGGTTTACTCGTTTCCTCAGTCTGACCAGCAGCCCGGCACGGGTCCCCTGCTTGGTCTTCCTCCTGCGTCTCTCAGGTAGGACGGCAGGAGGAAGCCATGGCGAATCTCCATTGTCTGTCGGTGGGTTATAGTCCACAAAGTTTCTGATGTGAAGAAGTTCCTCTCTGCTATATTGTATAGCAGAGTTGGTGCGGTCGGCTTGCATGTTGCAAACCATGTTAAAAGCAAAGTGATGGCTGTGCAGTAAAGAATGAGTAATTATAATAGTTTTATTAAGCACACATACAAGTGCACTTCCTGTATTACACTGATATTTCCCTTTGCATTGCATATATCTGTCTGTTTGTGTACAGGAAACAGTGAGAGCACCCTGAAGGAGTTCCTCCTCTCCCCCTTCCTGTGGGTGCTGTCTCTGGGCTACCTGGTGGTGTTCGGGGTGAAGACGGCTGCCACTGACTGGGGACTGCTGTTCCTCATTCAGGATAAGGGCCAGACGGTCCTCATGGGTATGTTGTTTTAATTGTCACAGATTTGTATTGCCTCCTGCTGGTGAATGGGGCTGACCCCCGGTGTTCCCCACAGGCAGCACCTACATGAGTGCCCTGGAGGTGGGGGGCTTTGTGGGCAGCCTGGCAGCGGGCTTACTCTCTGACAGAGCTGTGTCTCGGGTGAGTGACAGCCATGGGATAGATTGGGCAAAAATGATTATTAACCGGAGTACAGTGTTAAACAAAAGGATCCTCTCTTTGACTTCAGCAAGGCTTGGGCACCCACGGAAACCCCCGCCACGGCCTGCTCCTCTTTATGATGAGCGGGATGTGTGTGTCCATGTACCTGTTCAGAGTCACCATCACACCTGAAATCCCCCAGGTAACTGCACCTTTAATTAATACTGTGCATGGAATAAACATGTGTGCCGTATTGAAACTTCACCAGAGATTATGGTCTGTTCTCAGGAGGCGCCTCTTTGGGTCCAAGTCATTCATCCTGTCTCTGTCCTCATTGGTGTATCAGAAAAAGAGGTATGTTAAAAAAACTGGTGGAATTTAACTAAATACATTTACTTAAGTACAAGTTTGACTTTATTTGAGTATTCTCACTTTATGTTACTTTATACTTTTATTCCATTAACTTTGGAGGCATATGTTGTTCTTTTTATTCCACTATATTTATTTTACAGCATTAGCTCATTACCTGTTTTTTATTATTCTTACAAAGAATAAATCAATGCAAATGATATGATTTATTATCACAGATCAAGCTACCCAACAGTATACAAAGTACTTTAATTAAACTCACTTTTACCGGAGGCAACATTAAAATGATTAACATTGGTTATTCCGTCAATACGTATAATCCCATTATTTATACATGATTTTAAAATTCCCTCTGGAGGGAACACAGGGAATTAAGCCTTTGCAGACCATTGACATGCACAGAAAGGAGAGGTAAAACCCCCCAAAACCCAAGAGGGTATTAAGTGTATTTTTTATGCGAATACTTTTGTTCTTTAAAATATTTTTTATGCAGTACTTTTACATGTAACAGATTATTTTTATACTGTAGTATTGCTACCTTTTCTAAAGTATCAGATCTGAGTAATTCTTCCAGCACCGCTCAAAATCACTGAGTTTTATGGGCCTTACAATTTGATGAACTGAATCAACACTAGGGAGGCTTTGGCGCAGTGTACTAGTGCATTGGTTGGGATCAGGGGAGCACAGATTCAAACCCCACTGCAGTCAGCATGTCGTTGTGTCCCTGAGACACTTCACCCCAAATTGCTCCTGTGGGGATTGCCCACAGTATTGAATATGTAATGTAATGTTATTAACACATTCAAGAACACTGATCCACGTTTTCTCTTTGTCACACACAGATCTGGATCCTATTCCTCGGTGCTATGTTTGGATTTTCTTCCTACGGACCAATCGCCTTGTTTGGGGTGATAGCCAGTGAATGTGCTCCTCCGAATTTCTGTGGAACCTCTCACGCTGTTGTGGCTCTGATGGCTAATGGTAGGCTCCAGATTCACATGTATCATCACTGTAGTCTAATTCATCAGTCTAAACACACTTTGTTCTGTTGCAGTGGGGGCGTTCATGGCGGGGCTTCCCTTCAGCACTATTGCCAAACAGCACAGCTGGGACATGGCCTTCTGGGTAGCCGAGGTGATAATGGCCTCTGCCACCATTGGCTTCTTCCTCGTACGCAACATGCGCACCAAAATGGGACGCATCGCAGAGAAAATGGACTAACGTGTCTTCCTGAAATTAGATGAAGGTTGATAACATGTTATGTGACAAACGGCCTATCACTAAAGACAGCTCCTTTTACAGAATACTGCACATTAATACGTCAATTTGAACAAAAATACTGATCGCCATATTTTTTCTGATGAATTGGGTTGATGTAGATGCTCCGGTGGGGTGAAGTCATTAAACTACTTTAGATAGAATTACATTACTTAAACTCAATGCCAGGCAGAAATATGTATTTTTTTACAGCCTGCAACATTAATTTAAACTAAACTTATTCTCTGTACTTCGGATACAAAAAGTCTGCCTTATGACTCCTAATGAACTTTAAAGGGTTTAAGTGTTTGTATTTTGGATGCACACTTAATATGAAAGGTTTAACTTCCATTATAAAAATAAAAACTCAATGTTTTTGATCACCATAATGATCAAAAAATGAAAGAGCCAAGAGAGATCTCTGTCGCATATGTACAAATGTTCTTCTCCTGTTCAACCGCACAAAGAAAGTAGATGTCTTCCATTGAAATGCTTCCATTTAGTCATAGAGGCAGTACTCACATAGAGACCTTTCAGTTTAATGGCAGCTGTACACTCAAAAGAACCTGGATATAGTGTAGTGTTGAGGCCTGTTGACATCAGGTGGACGCATGCTGCTCATTGCGTACTTGCCTTCAGTGGAGGTCACTTCTCTTGAACTTATTGAATGTTTTCTGATGGGCCTGTATGATCTAAACTATTATCTGTCTAGGTATTTGCACACATGTGTCTAGGTCATTTTATCAATACAAACAAATCATCATTTCACTGAAATGAAGTCATTGGAGAACATGTTATTTTTATACGCAATGTAATGCTAGTTGATGCAGAATAACACTCGCCAGCTTTTGTGATGCTTTCAAGGATCACTCGAGGAGTTGTATCACTGCCACTGTAGCTCTGTACAGACATAATATATTAACTTCCTCACCCAAAAAATCTGAGTTGTCAACTTAACAATTACTGTGATTGTACAATACATATGTTGTGCAGTAATGTCTAATTTGTTCGGTTTTTCTTCTGTAAACTGGCAAAACACATGAATAAACCTTCAATAAGCTGCTATTCCAACCCTATGGCAATTGTTTAATACTTTATATATTGAGACAGTTTAAAGTGGCTGTACAGTAAGTGTTCCTTTGTGTTCCTCTGGCTGTGAAAGCATCCGTCTTAATGCAGATTCTACGTGATAGATTTGTAATCCAGAGAAACTTCTGCAGAGGGAGTTGCAGAAATCATGTGGGCATCTTACAGTTTCATTGTTTTTAAGGTTTGTCTTTCTCTCCCGCTTGCTGCAGCTCAGCAGGGAAACACTGCACTGCTTTCACTCTTTCACTTTGACTCATACCTCATTCACACCAACGCAACTCCGGTTCAAGCTCCGTGCTAGAGCTTTTCAGGTTCAGAACCAATTCGGTTTAGCTCCGGCTCTTTTCACACTGCCCCGAGTCCGACTGGTGCTGCGTCATTGCGTCATCGTTTGCGTTATGACGTAACCGTTTGCGTGCCTGCTTCATAAAGTCAAACCCCTCACAGCTGACACCGACAACAACAACAATGGCCGATTGTGCTCCAGCTTCCTCTGTACCTCTTCGGAAGACCAGATTCCCAGTAGGTAGCTGGTCTCTTCAGTGGACCACTGCTGCTTGTTAAGTTTCTCCATCGTTGTGTACAAACTGGATAAAACGCCGGCTTTTTGTTGTTGTTCAGGAATTGATCCCGCCCCTGCCCCCGCCTCGACGTAAGCGTGACGTAGCTGGTGCTTTTGCTCTGGCCGGACAATTTTTTGGTGCTCGAAATGAACCGGATTCCGGACCTAAGAGGCTGCTCCGCTGCGGTGTTAACAGGAAAACCCGGTGCTTTTCAAGCTCCAGCTCCGAACCGGCCCTGAAACACCGTTGGTGTGAATGAGGTATGAGAAGACTACCTGTGGGGACTGGGACCATTTCTTTGTCTAACTCAAACTCAGTCAGAATACTTGGGTTTTGTGACAGTTGCTCCATTTTATACTTCAATTCAATGAAAGTTAAATAAATACATATAAATACATATTTGTACAAACACAAGAGGTTAATGTTAGCATGTAGGAAGATGAAAATAAATTAGAACAAACGTATTTTTTATAAACACAAGAAATTAAAGTTAGCATGTAGAAACAACAATACATTAATACAAGGATCTTTTTATAAACATAAGAAACATAAAATGTCCCCTAAAACAGTGGTTCCCAATCTGGGGGGCGCGCCTCCCTTGGGGGGGTGCCAAAGATCGCAGGGGGGGCGCCAGGCCTCCGATGATTTGAGGCCAAATATCATATTTAGACTTTTTTTTTTTATTAATAATTGTAAAGCAATACATGATTGTCACTAAAAGCCTTGTCTCTACATTACAATAAAATATAAAAAATAATTGATTAATTAATTTGAATAACAATTCAAGTTAGTAACTAAAGGCATAAAAAGTGGGAAATGTATAATTCTTTCTTTAATAGAAATGTTTCTTCTGCCCGTAAAGTGTCCAAACCGGGCTTTTCTGGATACGCGCATTTTTAAAACATAGTCATTGTCCATGCCGGTTTCAGATTATTTGTCACAGTTGCACCGATCAGATCGGTCTCCTCCATTTTGTAGATTATTTACGACTTTTGAATCCACATAAACACATCGGCAAAATCCGGCTTACTTTGAGCAAATGTTTTAATCAGTTTTATCCCTTTGTGAATTGTTTCCACTTCCGCACCGTCCTTTAATTTCTTCATAAGCGGGAATCCAAATGAATTAATCCTGAGTCCAATAACCATCAAAGTCACTCCAATAGTGCTCCTTAATTACACTTTCATCCTCCTTTAACAAAATACTTCACATTCATCCACTTTGTGGACAGGAGTCATTTGGAGGGGCTCTTGGGAAAAAAGGTTGGGAACCACTGCCCTAAAAGATCAAATGTAAATACTTTGATTAAATAAGAAGATACTAATTAAAAAATATAATGTAAATTGGCCAACAATAGATACAATAAAGATATGACAACATGTATATCAACACAAGATATGAAAGTAAACATTGATTTGAATGCAGATTTACACAGTAGAACCATTTGGCTGCTGATGGTGTTTGAAACCGTTTCATCCTCAAATCATTTATACTTGAACATCAAAATACATGTGTCAGGGACTGCGATTTGTGTCTCCCTAAACTTTCATTTCTAATTTGGAAACAGGGAAGGGTCTTCTTGTGGCTTCATCATTAGCTGGAGACAAAGTCAGTTGGAATGTAGCCATGTCACTAAGTAGTTTAATATGGTGTGCTGGAGGTCTGTGAGAATACACACAGCATGTGAACGCTTCATCAGGAAGAACTCAAAAGTGAATTTAGTGTGAACTTCTTTTATTGCATCAGAGATACAAAAGATGCACAAGAATGTTTATTTCTCTAAATGTAATGAAGTCATGATCAGAGTTTGAGTAAAGCAGCGTCCCTAAGGGAAGCTGTCCATGGTGCTGAAAATATTTGGTCATTTGCCTTTTTCTTTGAAGGTTTGTAAACTATTATTTAAAAAATGAAAGGGATATTTGTTTTAATGATTCTATAGCAGCTTTTTCAAAATCATACTTTGACTGTTATTCTTTTTTATAGCTTTTCTTAGCCTTCTAATCAAGTGAACCTGATCTTTGAACGTGTCCTATCCAATTGAACATTTTTTTATTAAGATTTGACTCTTTATTTGCCAATAAATTAGATGTTAGATGACCTCCAGTAAGGTCCCTTTTCCACTTTCCACTTATATATCACATTATTTGTGCTGAATCCTACGGTGAATGACATGCATTCTAGTATTTTTGAACAAAGCCTTATAGGCATAATGTATTACTTCCATTTCAATGCTTTTTGAACAATGAGAAACCTTCAGTGTTTTATCAACAACGTTAATAAATAAGCAACTTTTCAGAAGGAAACAGCGTAACAACTACCAACCAAGTTTTATTGGTTTGTTGATAACAATCAATACACAGGTACATCTATAAACAAATCAAAAGAAACAGCACACTATCTAAAACCCACATGAATATTGCTACTGCTGGTATGCATTTGACATCTCAAATAAATGTACAGTTTTTCTGTCGGCCTTAAGGAAGCCAGTCTCCAGTTTGCTCTGTATGGTTACACACCGCATAAACGTGGCTATGAAAACAAATTCCATTTTTACCATCCTTACAATGTATCGTTACACACTGCGTATAGAAAGATTGAAAACCCTTTTCACAGCAGCTATACAAATTTATTGCGATGCTATCACAGAACAGACAAAACCAACACACGCGATGCACGTCTGATAAGGAGAGCTCCAGTACTAGGGATTTTAGCTTTATTGATCAAATTTGTTAAGAAAACGGCATGAGTACAAGAGTTAACATATAGGAACAAAGCTTACAAACATTCTAAAACACTGTTCTTCATTAGAAACAATAAAACAATGAGTTTCCCTGTGACTTTGTCCACCCCCCCAGCACAGATTACATACAGTCCCTTATAAAGCATATGGAATGTAATCTCTTCCCGTTGTTGCCCCAGCTCCTTAACGTCGTGCTCGCGTTTTGACGAACTTGACACCCAACCTGCACCCTCCCCTCCTTCACATTTAAAACTGAAATGAGATCCACTGACAGTAACAACAATGACCGCAATTTGTATGGCGATGCAAAATTGTGGGATGTGACGAAATTCCCGTCTCCAAATTGACTTTTTTCTTTCATTAAAAAAAAGTGTTCTCTACAATCAAACTACTAAAAAACCTGTATTTAGAAAATAGTTGATAAAAATATCCCCTGAATTGTACAAGAAAAGAGGTACAGGGAGCACTGGTAAAAGATGTGTTTGGAGAGATACTATTCTGCTGCCTCATCTTTTTGTTCAGCTGCGTCTGTAGCCGGTGCCTGCAAGAAAAAGTTGAGGGTCAAAGTTTAATAACCAAGAATATGGGCTTTATTTTGCATGTTTATATATTCACATAAACATTACCTCCTCCTCAGCTTTGGCTTCTCCGTTCTCAGCGGGGGCCTCTGGTGCTTTCTCCTCAGGCTTGGCCTTCTCCACCTCCTTGGCTTTCTTAGGCTTAGCAGGTGCCTTCTGCAAAAATAAATATTAACATCATTAGTCTAACAGTCAACAATTGAGAGTCTAATAATAAGTAATGAAAAAAGTTCTCACCTTTGGCTTGGGTTTGGCATCTGCCTTTGCCGGTTCAGGTGTCTGCTGGGACCCAAAAAAATGATGGTCAGTTCTGAGAACAGACTTTAACAGCATGCATAATGAGTGTGAGAGTCATTACTTACATCTTTCAACCTGAGAGATCTCCTCTTGGGCTGCAGAAACAGTGAACAGAATAAACATGTCAGCTTACCACTGATGGGCTGTTACTGACCCCTGGTGGGAGCACAGACAACGACTAAAACACAAATACAGTATGATATAAAATGTTCTTACCGCTGAGTCTCCTCCTGTCTGTAAGAAAAAAAAATGTGGTTAAAGTTTGCATCTGAATGTGACTATGGTGAGGACAAGTGTTGCCGGGGTGTGGGCTTTAAGTATTAGTTATATAACACGGGTGGGCGTTTCCAGACAAAAGATTGGCCTATGAATGCTCATCAAGCCTCATAAATTATTAAATGAAGTTATAACCGAGCACTGTGATTGGCTGCGATATGCCCTAAAATCCAGAACACAACATCATTTCCTAATCCGCACATTAACAACCATTAGCATGATTACTAAACAACATGCATCTGTCTGCACAATAATAAATAAATACAGCGTATAGCATTGTAACAATAACACAGCGTCATATGCGCGAGCTCCCCCAGCTCTCGTCTACTGTAAAAGTCCAATGGGGGATGGGGGACTCCGCCTACTCATCCATTCATAGGTAATAAATGGGATTTCCAGAATACCGTGTTAGAGAGCGTTCCCGCCATGGATTTGAACAGAGACGCTGTGCAGAATCTACTGGAAGCCCAGCAACAGGAGCAGCGCTGTGCTGACGGAGGCTCGCCATTGCATAACCGACCATACACCGTGAAAACACGACGAACGTCTTTCAATATATGCAACATTAACCAATATTACGCTATTTGTATTGAAGGAACACATTATATAGTGGCCAAATTATATTAAAGTTGTGTTTTGTTCCGTAAACAAGTATTTGTGCCCACACAAACACAGTAAGCTACCATTAAAGCCCAGCGAAGAACATTAAATCCGCTTTCATAGAAACTTGAGTATCCAGCGTGACGACCCCCATAGGAAACAATCAATATGCCGCCAACTTTCTCTACAGAAAGCCGTCTATCGACAGAGAAACCTACACTGCAACAAGCTCAATATATTTATAAAATGTTGCAACTGTGCAGAGACCATTGTGCGGGAAACCCCGACTCACGGAAAAGCTCTTGCACAAAGATAATCACAGCACGAGCGATAACAGACACAACCCGACTTGTAAAATCAAAACAGAACAAGTCCAGCTGCAAGCTGCAACATTGTTTACGTTCACCCGGAAAACAACACGGTCATTTGTAGCTACATTTTAACAACTGTGTCTGCAAGCTATCGAGCCCATCTGACAAACTGCAGCCGGGGGTAATAAATGCAGTATTACTGAATGCATGAAAGATGTCGGTCTACTCACTCTGCTCCTTTTAGGCATGGTTGGTTTGCGTGTGGTGATTTTAAGAAAGAAAAACGGCTAAATGTAAGTCAATACAGCTGAAAATACAGTTGCAGGCTATATTGTGGATAAAGCTGTACCAGTACAGTCTAATACAGCGCAGCGAGACGTTAATGTTCCATTGGAAGAAGAACTAGCTCAAACCGGATTGGATTCTCCCCCTCCCTCCCTATTCAAACCGTTATAGTTCCTGCATGATTGACGGTGATATACCCCGCCTCCACTGCCCGGTGATTGGACAAGACAATGGTCAGCAACAACATTTCAAATTTGTGCTCCTACCTGCTTGGATGCGTGACACGTCAGTCAACAAACATGGAGAGCGACCATCTGCCGTAACAAGGCGAACTGTCATTTCATGTGTCTTCCCCTCGCGCACAGATACGTGTTTCCCAAAACATGCTTCTTTTTAAATGTTCAAGAATTGGCTCTCATAGCATCACATTAACGCCTTTAATGCGAGTCATATAAGAAAATTTGTTCTGTTTATTGGCAGGACATTGAGAGATGTGTATCCCCCAAGGCAGGTCTTTTGTATTTTGGCGTAGGAAAATGGCGACAAGATACGTGAGGATAGGCTACAGCTCCTGGCTTGTAGGCTCCTGTGTGTCACCGTCCAGTGTGCTATCCAGATTCCAGACATGGCTACCGCTTCTAGTATACTCACAGTGCTTCTTCCCACTTCCCTCCATCCCTGACCACTGTCCTATTATTGTTGTCCTGCCCAGAAAACAGAAAATACTTTAAATACACACTTAATGATATATAAATGACTGCCATTCCATACCCTTTATCCTGTGTACAAGATAATGACGTATTGAGGCGCATACTTTTATCAATAATTTATGTAAAGCTTTTATTTTTCATTTGGCTGGTCCTGAGGAAAAATATGTTTTTGTATAAGAGGCTTCCTTTCATTTTATCCCCAGAATTAACTCGAGCAAAGAGCTGTAATTGGAAAAAAAGAGTCAACAATATACAATTTCCAGAAGTGCCAATATTAAAATGTTTGGAATGTTAGCATGATTTAATTAATGATGCTTTGTAGTATAAAAGACACAAAATGTGTGCCTTATATACTTATTATTTAATAATAATTCCAACCAAAAAAAATAACACAGGATAAATAGTCAAGTAAAAATCATAAAAAATGTATTTTCTTTGCTCCTTTAGTCGACTTTTTAATGATCCCTCCCTGCATTTAGGAGATTCCTACTTCCTGTTTAAGCAGGAAATTCATCACAATAAGATTAACTTTGACACAATGATTTATGTGGATTACAAAGCAGGCCTAACCCAAACAACATTGAAACATGGGCAGATTTACTGCTGCATGTTGATGTTGTTTCACTAGAAAATGTTACATTTTATTTTCACAAGGGCATTCTTATTTTTTGTCTTTTAGAAAGATATTACTAGACATTTCTACTCAGTTGTGATCAAATTTGTTTTTTCTAACAAGCAAAATATTAAAACATATTTAGTAAAAGCCACTGTCACTAATTGGTGGAGAAAGTAAGGTGATGGCCATTTATTTACAGGGACTTTCATTTAGTGATATTCCACTCAGGCTTAAATTCTTCTTTTATTGAATTATCCCCAGAGGGATTAATAACCCTTTTGAGGTGCTTTGCTTCCACTGGGACATTCAAACTCTTCCACCTGGTCTGAACATCAAACTGACCCGGCTCACAGTGGAAGGCCACTTCCTGCAGGTATTGCATTCAGCAGCAGTTTGCAAACACACCAAATATAATTTGGTTTGGAGAATCCTTCCAACCTTATCACACATGTATGTGAAATTTCACTCACATGCTGATGCCTGCCAATGTTCTTAAGGTAATCACACCAGGAGTTTACTTCATCTCACTGGGATTGTTGATGGTAAAAGGCCAGGGTGGGGAACAACCAGCTTTGCTAACATTTAACAGTTTGCTCATGATCATTGTTAAAGTACAAGAACCCATTTACACGGGAACGCATACGAAACGCAAACAAACTGAATACGATATCAAAAAAGTCTTCCGTTCACACGAGACCGCTCGAAAGCACTGGAGACGCTGTAGTACATATGCCGGGCCTTTAATGCGGCTTTCACACCAGCGCTTTTCCCATTCTAGAGTTTTTCTGGTTCAGCTCCGGTTTCCCTTTTCTGCTCCCGCTTTGTTCACACCGCCCAGAGCCCGACTGGTGCTCCCGCTGCTGCGTCATGACGTCACCGTTTACATCGCTGATTTGCTCCCCAACGGCGTTCACAACAACAACAATGGGGGACTGCGTTGGGTCGATGATCGTGTTGCTTTTAATCATACGAAGCCAGATTAAACTAAATAACGGCTTCTCCAACTTTATACGTTTCTCCAGAGTGCCATGGTTCATTGTTTATTAATGTGTTTTGGCGGCATTTACCGACCGCTGCAGTGCTGGCTGCTCTTCCACGGGAGTTTATTCTCCCGTTAGCTCCGGGTTAGCTCACACGGCTCTAAAGTATTCACTGTCTGACTGTCACACAAGCAGCTGATACGTATCCCCAGTTCCCCTTAAGTGAATGTGTGTCAGTCTGAATTGACGCTGTTTGGCATCACAACGCTGTTATGAAAGTTTCTCTGGTATAAAATGGGTGATGTTAGCATAGCAACCGAAGCTAAACTGACTATTTGTTGTTGCTATCCTATTGTGGCATAAGCCGTTTTCTACAGGCACATTTTACCGGCGTATTTTTCATTATGATACTACTTGTGATAGTCGGACATGACAACCTGTGCAGCCCATGTATTGATTCCATCCGATAGCTGCTATAATACAAAACGTCTGCCTGCTCTCCACAATGATCAATAACAGCGAACGGATGGTAAGGTAAGGTACAAATAAACAGAATCACACGAAGCCTGGTTAGTGTTGCCTGACTTTATAAAGTGTGTTTTTTTTAATAAGTGTGTGGTTGCCTTCTAGTCACTTTGTTCAGCGCTACTGCTTGTAGGCAGGCATGACGAGACTCTTCAGTCAACCCATGTTCAGAGGAGGTGGGTTTAGTTTCCTGCACGCCTCGACGTAAGAGAGACGTAAGCAACGCTGCCTCTTAGCTCCGAAGCTCTTGCCTCTAGACCGACAATTGTTTGGAGCTGGAAGTGAACCGGATTCCGGAGCTAAAAGGCAGTGCCTCTGCGGTGTGAACAGGAAAAAACGGTACTTTTCAGGCTCCAGCTCCGAGCCGGAGCTGAAAACGTGTTGGTGTGAAAGGGGCATAAGTGGCGCTGTACTTCCGCCACAAAATACACCAAAAGCAGCGAAGAAGACCCCCAAGCATGGTTGCCTGGTTGCCCTTCAGTTTATTCTCCGCGGTGGATTTAGCAACATGTAGTTCATGTAATTCTCCATGTCCACTTGTTGCTGATGGTTGTGGTAGAGGAGCTGTAGATTTTGCACTAACATCTGTAGCATGGTCAGTAGCAGTAGCAGCAGAGGTGGGGAGAGGCGGGGCTATGGCTTCATCGTTATCAGGAAAATGGTCGTATAGGACGTACACATGGAGCCGTTTGGCCTCCCAGAGCGTTTCCAGATCTATCAACCTTGGGACCCGTCATCGTTTAGGGGTCCGCTTCCGTTACGGCCTCGTGTGAACGAACGGGCTATACGAAAGATAAAAGTAGCGGATACAACCGTTTTCGTTCCTGTGTAAACAGCACATAAACCTGTTCTGCTGGTTGTTACTAGTCTTTGACTCATTAACTTGGAAAAGGTGTCCCTCCCATCTTCCTTACAATTTCGAGCGAAACAGAGCTGGAGTCCACATTAGAATGCAATCTGAGCTGAGATATGACATGACATTATATTTATGGCACAGATTTTGTTTGTTTTACTAATGTGTGCTATGATACTGAAATGTTAGGAACGTTACACAGACACTTGGACTCAAAAGAAGGTTTGAGGTTCAAAAGGTCTTTACTTAAGACATAGATAAAGTACAAACAAAAAATCACTCGTGAGAGGCAAAACGTAGAAAAGCAAACTGCAAACATGGGAACTAAATAAACTTGACTTAACTATGAGTACTAACTCCAAACGTCTCTTGGCGTGAAAAGCTGGCTCTCTTCAAGGCACAAGACGAACTGGCACAGGACAAAGGGAGACGAGGACTATATATACAAGAGGTAATGGGACACAAGTGGCAACAATCAATGGAGGGGCTGACAATCACGCAGGGAGGAAGACACACAAGGGCAGGAGAGCTCTGAAACGAGAGAGAAAGGTAAATACCAAAATAAAACAGGAAGTGCAATGACAGGACTAGACAGGGGAATAAAGAAGTCCCGCATCTTGTTGTGTGTTGAAGAGACAAGGACCCAGATGTTCTGAAATTCGTCGAAGATAAATATTCAACATTTCACGCAAACACTTTCTTCATGTACCTATTTCAAGGAAGGAACAATTTCTCAGAAACCTTACTCCAGTGGAAAATGGAAAGTCGGGACAGTGGAAAGGGACCCCTAATTCGGTTACAGGGACAAGGTCCAAGGACTCTGGTTAAGGTTGACTCCAAGTGAACGCAATATTGACGAGGACACATGTAGGAACAGGCAAACAGAAGTCTCCACCTCTCTTCATGAGGTCTATAACATGACTCATTTTCAAACGTCATGTTTCACATCCTTATGAGACGATGTTCTTTTTCAGGACGTTATTTTACAATAAGTTCATTTCATTTTTCATTAATCGTTGTTCTATATGAATTTCAGGGTTTCGCATTTTCATCAGGTAACACGTTTAACCAGGGAAAGTCTTATTATATATACTATACAAAATATTAATAACTAGTTAATTTCACAAGAGACAAACAAACAAAAACAAAAAACCAGACTCTTATCCTTACCAGAGAAAAACAATAACATTACAGGTACAAAACAACAGACATGGCACATGTTATTTATTTTTATAATTTTTACAAGAGTTTCGACCATTTCCACGTGATCAAACCTTACTGAAACCATATGATCGTCCCATCTAACACTTAAAATGAGGGTCCACCTTGATGTCAGACTAAATTTGTGAACTATATAAGTGTAAGTCAGGTAGGTTTAGACATTCATGATTTATATAATTATTTACATTGTTAACTTTAGACTTGACAATCACTCCATTTTCATGTTTCATCGTTTTTTACTTCAGGATGTTTACACATGAGTTCTGTCATGGCTCATTGAGATGAATCAATGAATTGTGGTGACAAACAGTAGAGTAGACACTACCTCCCGGGGAATGATGATATCCGGGAAGTATAAATATATTTACTATAACATGTCATATGGACCCGGACCCACAAAGAATAATGTAAGGTAGTACAGGACGATTAAATAAGTACAACTCAATCAATTAATCCAAGTACAATAAACCAAGTACAAATCAAGTTTAGAGTCCCAATCTAAATACAAA